CGATCATGACCCTCCACAATTTCCAGTCAGTCGTAGTTCTTAATAAATTTTGTCTTTTTGTTATCTCTCCTAAACCATGCTCCATCATCCATTTACTCAAGCTCATTCTTATTCTTCTAAGTGTCATGTCTCTTCAGGACAATGGCGATCATGACTCTCCACAATTTCCTGTCTGTCGTAGTTCTTAATAATTTTTTGTTGTTATTTCTCCTCAATCCTGTTCTACCATCTATATACTCAAGCTCACTGTGTATACTATGTGCTGATTTTTCTCTGTTCCACTTGCCTTTAATCTGCCTTGTGAGTATCAAATTTTCCAATCCTTCTTTCTTAATTATAAGCATTTACTTGGTTTGAGGATGGGTAAATATTGGTCGCATATATCTAAGTTTACAAGCAATTATATGGTTTGTTTATTGGTATATATTGGTCGATTATATTTGAGTCTATAATTATTTACATGCTTCAGGCATAAACTGACGCTTATATTTTGTCGATAAGCAATTACTTGGTTCAGGGATAGGTAATTATTTGTCGTTTTTTATGTGAGTGTATAAGCATTTCTTTTGTTCGGGAAAAGGTCAAATTGGACGACTGTATTTGAGTGTAAAATCATTTATTTCGATTAGGGATAGGTACATATTTGAGTCTATATGTATGCATTTGTATTCGGGATAGGAAAATATTAGTTGTTTATATTTGAGTCTATAAGTATTTACTTGGTTTGGGGATAGGTAAATATTGGTTGTTTATATTTGAGTCTATAAGCATTTTCTTGGTTTGGGATAGGTAAATATTGGTTGTTTATATTTGAGTCTATAAGCATTTCCTTGGTTTGGGGATAGGTAAATATTGGTTGTTTATATTTGAGTCTATAAGCATTTACTTGGTTTGGGGATAGGTAAATATTGGTTGTTTATATTTGAGTCTATAGGCATTTACTTGGTTCGGGGATAGGTAAATATTGTTTGTTTATATTGAGTCTATAAGCATTTCCTTGGTTTGGGGATAGGTAAATATTGGTTGTTTATATTTGAGTCTATAAGCATTTACTTGGTTCGGGGATAGGTAAATACTGGTTGTTTATATTTGAGTCTATAAGCATTTTCTTGGTTTGGGATAGGTAAATATTGGTTGTTTATATTTGAGTCTATAAGCATTTCCTTGGTTTGGGGATAGGTAAATATTGGTTGTTTATATTTGAGTCTATAAGCATTTACTTGGTTTGGGGATAGGTAAATATTGGTTGTTTATATTTGAGTCTATAAGCATTTACTTGGTTCGGGGATAGGTAAATATTGGTTGTTTATATTGAGTCTATAAGCATTTCCTTGGTTTGGGGATAGGTAAATATTGGTTGTTTATATTTGAGTCTATAAGCATTTACTTGGTTCGGGGATAGGTAAATATTGGTTGTTTATATTTGAGTCTATAAGCATTTACTTGGTTTGGGGATAGGTAAATACTGGTTGTTTATATTTGAGTCTATAAACATTTCCTTCGTTTGGGGATAGGTAAATATTAGTTGTTTATATTTGAGTCTATAAGCATTTACTTGGTTTGGGGATAGGTAAATATTGGTCGTTTATATTTGAGTCTATAATCGTGTATTACGTTCGGAGTTAGGTAAATATTGGTCGCTTGTATTAGTGTCCTCTCCATTGTCGTTTTTATCTAGGTCGATAATGATTTATTTGGTTTGAGAATATGTAAATACGGCTGGTGTATATTTGAGTTTATGAGCATTTACTTAGTATCTGACCCCTTTTATGAGTGCCTTAATCTCCTTTACGATGCCAGGTAAAGAGGAAAAGAGAAGATTGGGCAAGAACTCGAATGAAGTAATTTTTTCAAGCGTAAACTGTTCGAGCTAAAATATTGAAAATGTTTCGGCGTATCTCCCTTTTGTCGATTGATTTTCTTCTACTTGGCATTTTTATCAATGCCATGCCTCTTAATCTGCAAGGTAGCACGAATGTGTTTCCGTCTTATGGCTTCAGGCACATTTTGTCCCTCAACTGCATAACGATGCGCTCAACTGAATACAAATGCCCGGTCATATTTAGAAAGAAGATAGCCGGGGGTTGTTCTTTAAAACAAGATCACTTGGAAGACTTGTGCTAAAAGCGGCTGAGATAAGACAATGAATGGAAACTGACACGGGCACAATACTCTAGAGGAGAAAAAGACGATGGAGGGTAAAGGCAGGTGAGAAGGGGGGGGCGGTTAAGGAATTGCAGGGTAAGGGGAAAAAGGGGAGGAAGGATATTGGAGGAAAGAGAAAAGTAAAGAGAAACAGGGAGGAGGTAGAATAGGAAATTGGAAAAATAAAACTGGTGACGAAAAAGGACAGATAAAAAGATACAGAGTTGAAAGAATGAGGAGGAGAGAAAGAAATGAAAGAAGGCAAGGGGAGGAAGGATTTTGGAGGAAAGGCTAAAGCAATGAGAAAGAGGGAGGAGGTAGAATAGGAAATTGGGAAAAATGGTGACGAAAAAGGACAGATAAAAAGATACAGAGTTGAAAGAATGAGGAGGAGAGAAAGAAATCAAAGAAGGCAAGGGGAGGAAGGATTTTGGAAAAAGAAAAAGCAATGAGAAAGAGGAGGAATAGGAAATTGGGAAAAATGGTGACGAAAAGGACAGATAAAAATACAGAGTTGAAAGAATGAGGAGGAGGGAAAGAAATGAAAGAAGGCAAAGGGAGGAAGGATTTTAGAAGAAAGAATAAAAATATGAAGGAGAGTTAAGGGAGAGATATGAGAATGACAGAAAGAATAAGAAATGAAGAGAAGAATTTATTAAGAGAAATGATTGGTTTTGTTGGTTTGGTTTGTTTTACGGTATATCAACCTCAATGGGTTATTTAATGCCGACAATTTTTATTACTGGTAATATATATTTTTTTTCAAAAATGTATTGATGGTAATATTTTTTCCTTCAAAAATTTTATTTCTGTCAATATTTTTTCTTCAAAATGTATATCTGGTTATATCTTTTTAAAAATGGATTGCTGGTAATTTTTTGTCAAAAATTTATTGCTGGTAATAATGTAATGTAATAGTGACAATTTATTGCTGGTAATTAATTTTTCCTTCAAAAATCTTTTGCTGTTAATTTTTTACAAAGCATTTCTGCTATTAAAATATATTTTAACACTTCCATAGTGTTTTAAGCCCAGTTTGAGGGTTAACTATTTACCCATAGCTGGGGCCCTAAAAGGTGCTACCACACCGGGTCAGGGTAGACCTAGGTACACCAGCAATTAAGAGGTGGATCCACGCTCTTCAATCAGAGGTTTTGCTGTCGGATGTAGTTTATCGTCTTACCCAGGACGCGGATGTAGTTTATCGTCATACACAGGACGGAGAAAATCTCTTTCTATAAAAGGCAGGATGTGTGTGTGTGTGTGTGTGTAACGAATGCACGGCCGCAATTTTCGACGGATTTGCACCAAAATTTACATGCAAATGCTCCAAGTTAGCGGGAAGACCAAGACCGACTTTGCATTTCCCAACTCCCATCGATAGTGGAAATAATCGATTTTTTTCATGCTTCTACGGCAGTTTTCATGTAGTTTGTGGCCATTTTGTATTGGCCAGAGTGAGAGCCTATAACTGGCTGCCACGAATAGGCAGGAAGATTCTATTGGCCAACGTGAGAGCCAACAGCTGACTAAAAGGAATGTTAACTAGCATGCTAGCGTGCAAAAAAAAAAAATCGATAGCTGCATTGGGAAAAATTTAAATCTGCATGGCACTTTACTCCAATTGGCTCATTCGTTTGCTTAAACTCAACGTTGATTCTGATTCCGCAGAAATGGGTTGGGTGTGAAAAAGTATTTGTTGTTAACATTCTTTTTTCATTCGGTTTTTCCAGTTACGAGTTTTTTTTAAAGCTGATCGTTTTGTGTTCATTTTGTTTAGTTCTTTTTTCGTAGCAGATTTAATGTTTAGCTTAGAAAAAATTCGCAGTGTGATATAGGCAAGAAGTAAGGCATGTAGCAACATCAGCACGGCAAAGGGCACTACTTTAATGGCAAGGAAGGTCAAAAATATTTTAAGTCAAGTGAAAGCGATTGCTGTATGTGTCGTACGATTTTTTAATCAAGCACGGGCAACGCTGGGCCATGCTGCTAGTGAAGAATATTTTTTTAAAAGTGGAGGCGGCAGATGAGTTGACAAGGAAACGTAAAGATAAAAAGAAGAGAATTAAAAAATGGAGAATGGAAGATGAAGATTTGGCAAGGAAAGAGAAAAGAAGAGAGAATAAAAGCGAGAAAATAGATGAGGCGGAGGAGACAATGAAGGTGAAAGATGAAAAGAGAAGCTGAAGAAGGAAATATCATGAGAATGAAAGAAAGAGAGAAACAAATGTAAGAATTGAGGGGAAGGAAAATTTTAGAGGAAAGAGAAAAGGAAGAAAATATGAACGTGAAGGAGGCAGAGAAGATGAGAAGGAAAATAAAAAAAAATAAAAAGACGTGGATGGAAAGGGAAAAAAGGAATAAAAATGAAGAAAAAGAATAAGAGAGAAGAGAAAAGAAAGAAAGAAAATAAAATAAATGGAGGGAAGAAGAAGATGAAAAGAAGAGTGAAAAAAATAGCATAAGAGGTAAATGCGAATGAGAATGAAGAAATGAAATGAGCTGAAAGACAAAAAATAAAAGAATTATAGAGAAGAAGAATGTAAAAAGAAAAGTGAAAAAGTATAAAAGGAAAACGCGAATGAAAATGAAGAAAAGAAAGAGTGAGACGAATGAAAGATAGTAAGGGAAGGAAAAAATATTTGAGGTAAGACAAAAGAAAAAAATATAAAAACGAGAAGAAAGTAAAAGTTAAAAAGACAAGGAGCTGAAGGAAAAAAGTGAAAAAGATTTAAAAAAGGAAGGAGCTTTGATACATGGAAAAAAATGCAGTGGATGAAGAATAGCGAAAGGAGGAGAAAATATGAGGAGAAAAAATAAAATGAGAAGGCGGTGAAGGAAAAAGGGAACGAGAATTAAAAAGGAAGAAGCGACAATAAATGGAAAAAAATATGGATGAAGAAGAATAGCGAAAGAAAGAGAAAAATGAGAAGGAAAAGGATAAAAAAGGCGGCAAAGAAAAAAAGGGAATGGGAATTAAAAAAGAAGGAGCATAGATAAATGGAAGAAATACATTGAATGAAGAATAGGGAAGGAAAGAGAAAAATGAAAAGAAAATGAACATGAAAAAAAGAAAGAAGAAGAAATACATTAGATGACGAATAGGGAAAGAGTGAGAAGAAAAAAGCGGGAAGAAGAACGAGAAAGTAGTTGAGGCGGCAGGAGGAGGAGACAATCGAAGTGAAAGATAAAAAGAGAAGGAGAAGAGGTGAAAAGCTTAAAATGAAAGAAAAAAATGTAAAAAAAATAGAGTGAAGAAGAAATACTGGAGAAACGATAAAAATTTTTAAAAAAAATGGAGGTGGCAGAGATATTGACAAGGAAAATGAAAGATAAAAGATATAGAGAGAATGGGAAGGCGAAAAGTGAATGAAAGAAATAGGGGAGATGTATAATGTTCGTGGAAAGAGAAAAGAAAATAATACAAAAAAAAATGTGGAGAAAGAAGAGATGCGAAGTATTGCGAAGAAAAAACAAGTAGAGAAGGGAAAAAAGAAAATGAAGAAAAAAAAACAGTGAAAGAAATGAAAGAAAGAGAGGGAAAAGATATGAGGAAAAAGAGAAAAGGAAACATTAAAACAATACGAAGGAGGTAAAAACGAGAAGGAAAATGAAAGATAAAAAAAAGACAAGGAGATGAAAGACAAAAGTGAACGTAAAAGGAAGAAGGGTTTGAGAAACGAGAAATGTAGAAGGGAAGATGGCGAAAGAAGGAGATGAAAAAAAACGAGACAGAGGAGGAGGAGACAATGAAGGTGACATTTAAAAAGAGGAGGTGAAGATAGAAAAAAAGCATTGGAAATAAAAGGAAGAGAAAATAAAAATAAAAATGAATGTAGACACAGAAGAGATGAGAAAGAAAGTGAAAGACAAGAGTGGATAGAAAAAGAGAATGAAAATGAAAAAAAGAGGAAAAGAAATACAAAAATGAGAGGTAAGGAAAAATATAGAAGAAAAGAGAAAGAGTAGAATAATAAAATGTGGAGGAGGAGGAAGTGAGAAAGAAAGGGAAAGATAAAAGACAGTAGGAGGAGGGGAACAGAAGAAATGACGTCAGAGGAAAAGAAATGGGGAAGATGGGGTAGGAGGAAGAATAGTGGAGGAATGAGAAAGAAAAGAAAAACAAACGGCGAAGGAGGAGAAGGTGGAGGAGGAAGGTGATAAAGAATGGGAAAGGTCAAAAGGAAAGAAAAGAGGTAAAAAGAGAATGAAAATGAACAAAAAGAGTGGGTGAATAAATCGAAGGCATCTGAGAGACCCTCTTATAATTCCCATTTGCATGGCTGGTGTGGACCAATTGTAGATTGACACGTTGCGTTTTCTCAGGCTAAGATTCTCAGGTTGACATTAAATCCATTGTTTGATCTGTTGATAAAAAAATTGGTCCACTGTGTCGTACTATACAATGTTTACCTCTGGAGCTTCTGCTATACATTTAGAGATTCTTGATAAAATCCAAAGAAGAATCTATCTTGCATATTTATAAGTCTACCATTCATCCATGCATTGAATATTGCTGCCACATCTGGTCTGGTGCTCCTGCTATATATTTAGAGATTCTTGATAAAATCCAGAGAAGAATCTACCTTGCATATTTATAAGTCTACCATTCATCCATGCATTGAATATTGCTGCCACATCTGGTCTGGTGCTTCTGCTATATATTTAGAGATTCTTGATAAAATCCAAAGAAGAATCTATCTTGCATATTTATAAGTCTACCATTCATCCATGCATTGAATATTGCTGCCACATCTGGTCTGGTGCTTCTGCTATATATTTAGAGATTCTTGATAAAATCCAAAGAAGAATCTATCTTGCATATTTATAAGTCTACCATTCATCCATACATTGAATATTGCTGCCACATCTGGTCTGGAGCTTCTGCTATATATTTAGAGATTCTTGATAAAATCCAAAGAAGAATCTATCTTGCATATTTATAAGTCTACCATTTGTCCTTGCTATGAATATTGCTACCACATCAGGTCTGGTGCTTCTGCTATATATTTAGAGAGTCTTGATAAAATCCAAAGAAGAATCTATCTTGCATATTTATAAGTCTACCACCCATCCATGTGTTGAATATTGCTACCACATCTGGTCTGGTGCTTCTGCTATATATTTATAATATTCTTGATAAAATCCAAAGAATAATCAGCAATATTATTGGTCCTGATTTGGCATCTCGGTCTCGGCCACTTTCTCACCGCCCTAATGTAACTTCCCTGTGCCTTTTCTATACTTTCATCGGAATTGTTCGCATGAGATCTTCACTATGGTACCTAAACATTATGAATTTAATCGCAGTACGAGATTGGCAGGTAAGTTTCATCAACTCACAGTTTAGCTGGCTAGATGTAACCGTAAGTTCTATGCTAACAGTTGTAATTCTCGTAATTCTCGCTTGTGGGCCTCCCTTCTGACTCCATGCTTCCCAGCCAACTTTGATCTTCAACAATTTAAATGCAATGTAAATCTTACTGTACTGTCTTCTCCATTACTCTTCTATTGTTCACGCTCCCTAATAAGGTTTCTCTTTGTTCTTATTCTTTCACAATCAGTAACTTCCTTGTGTCTTAGTATAATATATATATATATATATATATATATATATATGTGTGTGTGTGTGTGTGTGTGTGTGTGTGTGTGTGTGTGTATATATATATTTTTCTACATACTTCTCCTTCCCCCAGCAAAATTAATACCACCGCATAAATATTAATAAATATTACAAATTAGAGTTTCTACCATTTACATATGCGCAATCGCTAAAAACAACCAAATAACCGGCTTTAAAATAATAACAAAACAACATTAAAAAATTAAAAATAATAGCAATTGTACCTTTCATACGCTTACACAGACACCCATCATACGTAGATACGTGTGTGCGAGAAAGCATTATAGGTCTATATATCAACGCTTCACCAGGGGTGTGATGAAGTTGCTACGCAAGGGCAAGAGTGACGGGAATGGGATAGGCGACTTGCTACATTTAACTATGTTAAAGACAGAGTTAAAAATTTTAACCAAGATCTTAGCGAGCTGTTTGCAAGCTGTCATCTCTAGTTTGATTATCTCCGAGCAAACTTTTGCTGTTAAGGGCAGGACTATTTAGGATAACCTTTATTTGGTTCGCTTGATCATCGAGCAAGTCGACCCTAAAGCCGCGCTGATCAATTTAGATCAGTCCAATGTATTCGATAGGGTTGACCATCCATTCCGCCGCCGGGTTTGTGCCATACTTTCGCACCCAGATCTCGCTTCTGTATGCGTCCTCTGGAGCGCTGCTGGAGGTTCGATCGGAGCCTTTTGTATTGTCTCGCTCCAATCGTCAAGGTTGTCTGCTTTCGCTTTTGCTTTTGCTGTACCTTGTTTGCGTTAGAGCCTTTTCTTCGCAAGTTAAAAACGAATCCGATCCTACGCGGAATTCCCCTAGTTGGTGCTACCACTTCGGCCCGGTAATCCGCCTATGATGACGACGTTTCGGTTTTTGTGTCGAGTAGAGCCGAGATTGACGTAAAAAGAATTAACTGAAATAAGTCTGTTGGCTTGCGTGGAATAAATTTTCTCTTTCGATGTCTTTCCTCGGAACGAACAGACGGATCAAGATATTCGGCGTCTAGTTCGGTCCCGATCTTATTTTGGAAATGGAGTGGTCGAGGGTACGAGAGAAGGCCAAGATTGCTGTTCGTCTGTGGTCTCGGAGGGGAGGGTAGAAGTAAAGGGGAGGGTGGGACTATGTACCTCACACATGTACTCGATTCTCCTTTAGCGACTCGCCGTACTTCCAATTCCGTATGCTATAGTAAGGGTTTTGTTCTCCTTCTTGTAGAGATTCAAGGCCCCCAAGGTAAAATCGGGAGATCTGTTACCTCCACCCTTCCGAAGGCGGTCTGAAGATGCCTCGCGTTGAGACTCGTCAACATATGCTTCGCATTGCGTTCCTAGATCGAATGTGTCTGGAGGCAAGAGAAATGTGGTTCTACTGAGGGGTCCTGAAAATGCTATGAACGGGGCGTAGACATAGAGGGAATCTTAAAGGTAATTGGAAACAAAAAGAACACAATTTCTGTGAGTGCCAAATTTTCAAAGCTCTCGGAGCGCTTGAATAATTTGACAGTCACGGAATATAGCAACAGTAAAAAGTATATGAGATGTAGCGACTCACCTACCTAATCCGCGGAAAAAAAAAACAAATCGATTACGTTCTGACACTCCAGTGGGTCTAAATCTGGCCGTATGGTGAAAGAAACGAAATTAAAGTGGTTGGTTCAATTAGTTTGCACAAGGGATAAACCTGTCGGGTTTGTGTGAATGGGTGGCGGAATTACTGGATGGGAGAGAATGTCAAGAAAGCAAACATTACTGAGAGAACAAAGAAGAGAAAGTCGTGGAGAGTCATGATCATAAATAGATCGTTATACCCTTGTAGAAATCAATTGAAAAAAAAACGAACCATTCCGTTATTATTTACTTCTTTTCATATTTTCCAATGAAACATGACCCAGTTCACATATTAGTACTTCGTATGTATATTCCATGAATTCGTTCGTTGCAGATTGGCCACAGATTCTCGATTGGATTTAAATCAGAAAAGTTTCCGAGCCAGTCAACAGTACTTTGATTTGCTCACTGGTAATGCTTGCCAGTGTGTTCATGCCGTGTAGCAATTTTCGAGTAACGTCCGTCGCAGACAGTGGCCGTAGGACAACTAATCGACAGTCGAGACAATAGTGTCTGAGCGTGATGAAAATCTGATGCAATCGCGAATGACGTAATATTTTTCAAAGCCAAAAAAAATTTCATCATACACCCCGAAAACAGATTCATATTACTGCACATCACAGCAAATGACCTAATCTGAGGACAAAATAGAAATCGATTACACCTTGTCCTTGCCAGTAGGTCTAAAACTGACCGAATAGTGAAAGAAAAGGAAACTAAATTTGCACAAGGCTGTACCTGTCAGACTTGTGTGAACGTGTGGCGAAATTATAGGACGGGAGAGATGTCAATAAAGCAAACTAATAGTTACAGTGGATAGGAAGTCCTGGAGAGTAATGATCTCCCGAAAGGAGTGTTAGAATTTTGGGGTACGTTGTTACTAGTGAGCTAGTCAAAATGAGCTGACTCATTTTATAGTTCACCAATAGAAGGGTTAACCAATCAGAAAGCTCAAAATATTCAATGCGACGTGTATAAAGGCAGCCATTTTGTTTTTTCTCCCAAAATATCTTCACTGCCAACCTGATATCCAAGACTTAAAGAAATAACAGCCGCTACTTTCTCTGAATCTTCACTGCCAACGTCTGATATTGAACACACTACGGACTTCACTGGATTCCATATTCAGAGACTACGGCAAACATGGTCAACAAAGAGACGGTACATAGAAGAAGAGTTGTAGCAGTCATTTCATATGCTAGAAGTTCAGTTTGATACGACAGCTTTAAACTTTCACTTAAAATCTTTTAAAATGTCTTTTATTTAGCAACATGAAAATAGCTTTGAAGAGTCGGCGAAAATATCTCCCGAAATATAGCCACAAAGCAAATGTTAAATCTAAGTTTTACATTATATTCAGTTGTTCTGTAGGGAAAACTGCAGTTATATCTCGAAAGTTCGCTGAGATTTTTAGCTTTTAGCGATTTGTAGAAAAGCAGGCGCAGAAGACAAATATGAAGGTCCTTTTATTAGCAAAGCGAAGACATTTTTCATTTTATCAGTCTGCGTAAAAATCTATTATTACTTGAAATTCTTCTAAGGTCAGCTATTTAAAAGATGAATATTTTCATAAACCAAGTTTTACATAAGTTCTAAAAACTCTAAAATTATTATTATTATTTAAAATTTCTTTTTGTCTTGAATTTATTTTATAATCACATGTTGACTCATAAAAAAATAACCGTGGGCAAGTAAAAGAAAGTGTTTTTTTTAATTGTTTCCGTTTAATTAAATATTGAAATTTCAGTTTGACAACTTCAAAGATTACATTTTAAAGTGATGTTTATTCAAAAATAAGAAAACACCTTTTAAAGAAATATTGCATCAAAACATTTTTTTTTTTTTTTTTTTTTTAAGCATTTCACCCCAAGCAAGGCGGGGAGCCACTAGGACGCAAGGGGTTACAGAAAATAGGAAGATCAGATAGGAGTGATAGAAGAAAGGATGAGGGTAGTAGATAGATTAAGGCAACTGGAGATGTCGATTGACATTACACTTGAATAGCTGGAGATTATAACT